ATTATAAATATTAAACCAATAAATCATGTGATACATACCGTATTTTCGCGAAATAACGCGCAGGGGCGTTATTTTGAATTTTGGCCCGAATTAAGCTTAATTCTGGCCAAATTTCGAAATTACACCTCTGCGCGTTATTTCGCGAAAATACGGTAATCTTAATTATATTAAATTTAGATTTTCTAAGAACTAGCTTCGTTTTTAATCTACCTGACCTGCCTAAACTCTATTATTGGTTATAATCTAGTTTAGACCCTTTTAAAATTTTAATATAAAATATTTATTTAAATTAATACACATATTTTCGCGAAATAATGCGCAGGGTGTAATTTCGAATTTCGACCTAAATCAATCTTAATTCAGGCTGAGACTCTAAATAATGCGCATGCCTGTTATTTTGTGAAAATACAGTAATTCAAACTATATAACTATTTATTGCAAAATGATATATTTTTGATCAAATTTGTGAACTGCAGCTTACCTATACAATCATCGTATTGTTACCCAATTGCATAAATGTAAAATGCGCTTCTTGGTCAAAAATTGGCTGTATCTATGCTCACTAAAAAATTGTGCATAATGTTAGAGGCAAAATGAACCGTGACCAAAATGAATGTGATCAACGGTGCTGTGATCGATGATCGTACCCCGAAAACCAGTTTGTATGCATGCCCTACGATCGAACGATACTGACAAGGCTTGTACGCCAAATCGGGCATAGATCGAATGCATGACAATGAGGTTTCAGAGTGGCGATATGATGAACAATCGGGTAGTGGAAATTGGTAGGAAAAACTAAATGAAAAAAAAAAAAAGAAAGAAACTTATTATTAGTTAGTGTGTATTGAGAATATATAAATGCGCGTATAAAATGTAAAGTTATACTTATCTCAGGGAGATCGTAGAATATTTGGTAGTGCCCGAGAAGGGCTAAAGATTATAATAAAGAAACTATTGGTTGTTATATAAAATAAAATTGTTAGTTGTAGTGTTAGTGTTAGTTTTAGTGACAAACAGTAAAGTAATTTTAGAAGATCCTCGCCAAATCGTATCCACGCCTCGCTTCAAGCCTTTAATCGACGTAATGCGAGACTTCTGGCCCTCTAGCGACAGACTCGCCATATTCACACAGCTTCAATAATCACTCGATCAGACAATTAGGTAATTGTATAGATGAGCTGCGATCTACAAACTTGATTAAAAATACATCAACATTGCCATCTGGCTAATAGGTTTTTGTTCCTCTTGTAGCCTAATTTTTTTTAATAATTATCTTATTTCCAAAACAAACAGTTATTACGTTGTTAGGGGCTAAATCGATTCGGAATCTCAAAATATGGCCTCACGGATCTCAACTAACGCTAACTAATCCAAATCAACACTCTAATACCACTAAGCTCTATCGAACCCTAATGGTGGTTGGCACGAAAGAAGGCGTGGAAAGACTTGGTCCGAGTTATTAGGGCCAAATAGAGCTCTAGACTACGTCACGAGGCTCTATCTAGGAGTCACAGGATATAAGGTAGTTTATCGGTGAATAGGAGAACGAATGTTTATGAATTATATGCGCAAAGCGTTAACTTCTAATAACTAGCGATTGTTTTATTCAAGGTAAGAAATCGGTTGCTTATATACTTTTTACAGCCTTAGCAACATACAGGTTTTGAAAGTGAACGAAATGACATTACTGTCAGTTATGACAAAACTGCCATAAGTGACCGAACTGTCACATCTGTCAGAAATGACCGATCTGACCGAAGTGTCCGAACTGACTGAAGTGTCAGTAATGGCAGAAATGCCTGAAAGGGCCTTAGTGCAATAAGCACTTTTACAAATTGGGTAAGTTCTATCTATAAGGCCTGGTCAAAATACACTAACTAATTCAAAATATTTTAAAAATTTTGTATTGAGCTACAATTTACCCTTCCACAACGTACGCTATACTTATCTGCCCTATCGATATTAAGGTTGTTATTCTACTTAATGTTAAGAATAATAGTCACTCTTATCGGTTCTTGCCCAAATCTGGTTTATCTTAACCTACCCGAATTGCAATTTGGTTATTAGCATACCCCTGCTTAGCCATTTTTTCAATCTGTTAACTTATATAACTTGAATAAAATTGCAATAAACTAGAATCAGGAATAAAAATTATGAACAAAAGATCAAAATAAATATACTCATGGTTTTACTATAGGATAATTTTATATGTAAGCGATGCTAGACAAAAATTTTTATACATTATATATTCAACGAATTTTATCTAATCTGATGGCATTATTTATGTTGCTAATATTTATGTATCATTCTGTTCCTGATACAATAAAAATAACAATATGCAAATTTTATTTATAATATATAAAATATAGTATTAAATTTTCTGAAAATAATCAGTAATAGAACTTTGTTTTTGTGAATCTAACAACATTCTATTCGTAATTTTATCATATTTTTTAAATATTTTTATATCATCCATATCGAAATTTAAGGACTGTTGTTGTTCAAAAAAGGTCACCCAAGTTTTCAATGCACTATATGCTTCTTGAATAGACACTTCGGATGGCTCTTTGCCTGAATCGTCTGAATCGTCTGAATCACTCTCAATGTCATCACGTTCTTCATTTTGAATAAGAGTAACTATTTGTTGATCTGTTAATGCTTCTTCAGTTGCAATAGATTGGTCAATATCATTAAAATAATCCACTATTGCAGAATTAAGAGTAGCGGCATAATTATCCTCTACAGGTAATTCATTTAGAAGTTCATCAAGCTCGTCATTATCAAGTAAACTTGCTTCATTCTGAAGGTCTGTAGCACTGATAATTTCATCATCGTTAATAGCAGGAAGGATCCCAGTTCTTTTCCAGCAGTTAATAATTACATTTTCATCAACTGCATTCCACGCCTCCGCAAGAAAATCAATAGCTTGTTTAATATTTAGCTTGTTTCTTTTTTTTAAAAAAAAAAAAAAAATTAGTAGTGCTCCGAATAGTTTTATAGTTTTAGCCAAGATGCTAATTTAAAATCTGCAAATATATATAATAATTTATTTAATAATATAAGTTTCAAATTATAAAAAATAATCATTTAAATAATTAACTCACTTGTTCAATATTAACTAAAATAACAAAAATAAATAGAATTAAATTAGAGACACTGGTATCTGATAACTATCCACAAACATATGTTCTCTTACCAGAATTTTTTTTTAAAAAAGTTCAAGAAAAATTTAGGACCAACAAGATAAGTGCCTTGTGCCCATCCTTGTTAACTCTAATTCCGGTTTGATAATAATAGCCAGGACTGCTGCGATCATTTTCCATCTCTGCTAATTTTAATGTTCATTTTTTCAACCGCTATTATGTCTAGTAACAATGTATAGGGCCAGAAGTGTGGTAATATTTCTGAATTCATAGATTATAATTGTAAGTAGATAATTCTATTTTTAACATTATATTGTATTAGCATTTTCTTATCAGTATAATGAATAAGTGCTTTATATTCACCTTTTTTTAAATCCAATTCCATTTCAATACAATATCCAAAGATGTTATTCTATTATTTCTATTATTTCTATTTGCTGATTTTTGATAATTACAGAATTAACGAAGCTTTATATTTATCCTTTCGGTCCCTATTTCATTTTCTAATAAACCGGTTTTAGGAAAATAAAATGCATCATAATTATTTTAGATTAGTATATATCGATGTTGAGATGCAGATGTAAATTTGTAACTTGTTGTACGTAACTATAATAAGTTATACCTGCACTTCTAATATCGATGTACAAGCCATAATAATATAAATTGCAAAAATAACTTACTTCGTTAATAAAATCAAATAGATTCTTCTAATTATTACTTTAAGCAATTGTGTAGCCCTCAAGATGTAGTATATTTATTAAATTATTCGCATACTATCATAGAATTGTTATAGTGTGTCTAATACAGTAGTATTAATTACTTGATTGCATAGATTATGATGTGTTCAAAACCTGATATTTTTCAATATTAGTCCTTAATTCACAAGCCGCTACGTATAACAATCTTATAGAGGATTAGTAAAATAAAACTAACATTTTGAATAAAATGCTATTTTAGACAGACATGAATGAAATTGTCATATTTTGTATTTTTTATTGGTAAATTTATTTTTAACTATATAATAGAATTAATTAATCTATGGCTTAATTCAACTATTCGGAGCACCATATATATATATATGTTAGTTAAAACATATTAAAAAAAAAGGTACTTACTTATTAATATCTTCTCCAGTCTCATATAACATTAAGATATGGCGACAATAAAGAGCTTTGTATTTGCTTTTGAAACTCTTTATAATACCTGCATCCATCGGTTGCAAGTGAGCTGTTGTATTTGGAGGCAAAAATTCGATTCTAATATTAGTCAAGCCTGAATTAATTTTATCCTGATTATGCTGACGATGCTTTCCACATTTTTTTTGTTTTTTATTTGATACATGTTTTTTATAA